AACTATAGGGATGGCACACAGATCAGTGGTCGTCCTGGGGTGGGGCTGGGGGAAGGGTTAACCTCAAAAGGATATGAAGCTATTTTGAGGGGATGGTGAAACTGCTCTGTATCTTCATTTCAGTGGCAGTTACCTGACTGTGTATGTTTGTCAAAATTCACAGTACTGTACACTGAGAAGGGTAAATTTTGCTATAGGTAAATGACACCTCAATAAAAACAACCAGTCATGGGCCGGCCAAGTGGCTCAGTTGGTTAAGAGCTCACTCAAGAGTGCGAGCTCTGGGCCAGCCGAGTGGCACGATGGTTAAGAACTCGCTTGGGATGCCAGAGGGCCCCGGTTCGGATCCCACATATGAGGGCCAGTGACACTGCCCTCCACAGCTAAGATGCTGAACAACAGCTCAACCTGGAGCTGGGCTGCCATGAGTCGCCGGCGACGGTGTGGGCTGCAGCCCCTGTGGCAGTGGGTTGCCATGGGCTACCGTGTGTAGCCAGCAGCCAGCGTGAGCGGCCGTCCAGAAGCCGGCGACTGATCTGCCTCGCCCGGGAAGAGCGCAATGATGGTGCCAACTTGGGCCAGTGAAGCAACGTCCTCCACAACTAGACTGAAGAACAAAACGACAGCAACTTGTCTGTTCCCCTTTCCCCAATTCCCCAGCACTGTTCCCATCCCCCCAATTCCCCAATAAAAAAATAAAAAAATAAAATCTTAAAAAAAAAAAAAAAAGAGTGCGAGCTCTGAGCAACAGGGTCGCTGGTTCAATTCCAGGCCCGAGCTGAGCTGCCAACAGGTGGCAGGATGGCTTAGCTAAAATAAATAAATAAATAAATAAAAAATAAACAACCAGTCACTAGATACGCTGGTGAGGCCACACAGCTGCCAAGTGGCCACCTCTGGAGGAGAAAGAATTGACTCGGAGGAGAGGGGGATTTCTCATTCTATGCCCTTTGGTTCTGTCTTCACCGTGTGTAGTTATTACCTCTTACAGAAAAAAACAAAGGACCTGTTCACAAAACAAACCGGTAACAATGAGTCGCAACAGTGGCCAAGTTTAAAATGGGTGACTCAAGGTACGCAAGAGACATGAATAAACCATAACACACTAGGAAGTCTGGGGGGAAAAGGGGTGAAATATAGAGACTTTGGGTAAACATAACAGAATGAACCTACATCTGCAGCACCTCTAGAAACCTCACCAAAATGATAATGGAAGAGTAAAAGGATAACAAAGGCACAATACCATAAGGACAAATAAATAAAGTGGGAAAGGGACTGCAAAGATGAGAGATGGCAACAAAATGCAAAGCTGAAAGAAACTGGACAAATGCGAGCTGAGCAAGTGGACAAAGCAGGAACCCTGTGTGGTGGTTTTGGAATATACCCCTAAATTCTTTTATATTCCTTCCTTCGGGAGGTAAAGGCGAACTCACCTCCCTTTGAGCCTGGGCTGAACTCAGTGAATCACTTCAAAGAACAGAATAAACTGGAAGTGAAAATGTGCGTCTTCAAAGATTGCCCCCTCCTCTGCCCGCTTTGGGGAAAGCCAGTCGCCATGCTGGGAGAGCAGCAAGCAGCCCCTGTGAGGAGGGCCTGAAGCCTCCTGCCAACAGCCAAGGGAGTGAGGCATCTCAGAAGCAGACTTTCTAACCTCAGTCAAGCCCCCAGATGACCACAGCCTCTGTCAACATCTTGACCGTAAACTCATGAGAGATGCTAAACCGGCACCATCCAACTAAAAAACACTCCTGGATGCCCAACCCTCAGGGAGTGTTCGACAGTAAATGTTTGTTGTTTTAAGCTGATAATTTTGGGGGTGATTTTTTTTTTTAACTCACCAATAGAAAAATAATACACCCTTGATGGTAAAGGGATAAAGGGACACAGACAAAGAACAAATACATTTGTTCCAGGGAACCCCAGAAGGGTTCAGAAAAAACAGACCAAGGGAACAGAATAAAGAATCCCACACGTAGGAATTTGATATGTAACAGAGGCGGCAACTGAGTGGGCAAAGCATTAACTGTTCAATAAATGGTTTGGAGAGGAATTCTATCCTTGGGCGTAAAAAAAGTGTGGTGCCCTACCTCGTACCATTCACAGAAATTAATTCCAGATGAGGTATATACTCAGGAGAAATGACAACAAATATCCACACAAAATCTTGTACGTGAATGCTCCTAGCAGTACAACTCATAATAACCAAAAGGTAGAAACAACTCAAATGTTCAACTGATGAGGGGATAAATAAAACGTGGTCTATCCACACAATGGGATATTGCTCAGCCATAAAAAGGAATGAAGCGCTGTAACACGGATGCATTTTGAAAACATTATGCTGAGTGCAAAAAGTTAGTCACAAAATATCACATATTGTAGGGTCACCCTATTTCTATGAAATGTCCAGAATAAGCCAATCCATAGAGACAGAAAGTAGTTTAGTGCTTTCCAGGAGTTGGTGGGCATGGAAGCAATGGGGAGTGACTGCACATGGGTATGAGGTTTCTTTTTGGGGTGATGAAAATGTTCTAACATTGACTGTGGTGATGGATGCACACTCTATGAACACAATAAAAACCACTGAACAATGCATTTTAAATGAGTGAACTGGATAATATATGAATTATACCACAATAAAACTGTTGTAAAAAATAAAAGATAAGCAGGGTGGCCGAGTGGCTCAGTTGGTTAAGAGTTGGCTTAAGAGCGCGAGCTCTGAGCAACAGGGCCACCAGTTCGATTCCCACATGGGCCAGTGACGCAGCGCCCGAGCTGAGCTGCCGGTGGCAGGATGGCTCAGCTGGCGTAACAACAAGACTGCCGGTTCGATGGTGGGCTATGCCCACCCGCAACTAAGACTGAACTCAGCACTTTGAGCTGAGCTGCCGCCCAGATGGCTCAGTGGATAAAGCGTGTGCTCTTAACAACAGGCTGTTGGTTCGACTCCCGCATGGGATGGAGGCTACGCCCACCCGCAACTAAGATTGAACACAGCACCTTGAGCTTAGAGGTCATGAGCTGCTGACGGGAAGCCAGATGGCAACTAGCGCCCTCCACAACGAAGACTGAGGAACAACAACTTGGCTGATCCCCTTCCCCAATTCCCCAACACTGTTCCCCTCCCCTAATCCCCCAACAAAAATCTTTAAAAAAATTTAAAAATTAAAGAAATAAAAAATAAAATATAAGCTCCACGTGGAGTAAAGAAAAATGAAAAACAAAACAATAAAAGTACTAGAAGAACTTCTTTAAGCAGACACAAAATGCAAAAGACATAAAGCAGGCCCAGCCAAGTGGCGCGAAGGTTGGGAACTGGCTTGGGACGCCAGAGGGCCCCGGTTCGGATCCCACATGTGAGGGCCAGTGATGCTGCCCTCTAAAAAAAAAACAAAAAAAAACATAAAGCAAAAAACTGATGCATTTTGACAATATCAGAATTTTAAACTTCCATACACACACAGATTTGATGGAGGTGTCACTGTGGGAATGGAGGTGTCCTCTAGCAGGGACACAGGTCCGATGCCCGCCTGCTGCTGAGTCAGTTACACATGGATGACCAGCACAGTCAAGTAGGACTTGAGTGGCCTCAAGAAAATCCCAGGGACGGCCAGTTAGCTCAGGTGGTTAGACCGCAGGCTCATAACACCAAGATTGTGGATTTGATCCCCACATGGGCCACGGAACTGCGCCCTCCACAACTAGATTGAAGACAACTACTTGACTTGGAGCTGATGGGTCCTAGAAAAACACACTGTTCCTCAACTTAAAAAAAAAAAAAATCACAAAAACCCAGAATTATTGGTTAAACTGAAGGTTTCATTTGGGAACCAAAATCTTTAGTAAATAATTTCTGTGGATTTTGAGCCCCACATTTCTCTTGCAAAGTATGAATGTTTGCCAAAAAATCTTTTGTTGTGGTTACATTACTGAAAAATGAGCTAAGATGATTAGGTGGAAATGTTATTCAATGGCATACTATGCCAGCAAGTGGAAAGCTATAGTTGATTTTGAATTCCAACTCTTATTATGTTTTCAAGGACTGAAATTGTCAAAGTGCACACAAATCAAGTTCTAATACACTACTGTTTGAATAGCACTGAGCTATCATGCATTGCCCCATATTTATTTAAATTCTCAGGTATGATTTTGGCAAGGAAATACCCTGTAATATAAATAAATTCAAAACAAAATGGATGTCTAAGTGAATTAAAAACAAAACAAAACAAAACGAAACCTCTCAAGTAACTAAAGGCACCATAAACAAAATTAAAAGACAAGGAACTAACCAGGAGAAACATATGCAGCATGTAAACAGGCAAGGGTTTAATATTGGTGTGTGTGTGTGTGTATATATATATATATATATATATATATATATATATATATATATATATTTCCTACAAATCGATTTTTAAATAGGACAAATAACCCAGTAGGGAAAAAATATAAACAGACAATTCACAGAATTAAAAATATGAACATCAATGAAAACATTAAAAAAATTCTCAACCTCACTGGTAATCAGGAAAAATACAAATTAAAACAAGAGCCCGCGTGTGTGCACAGTCGTGAACAAGCATGCATGGCTGTCCGTACTGGCGTAAAATTGAAAATAAGCCATCCGCCCACTGCTACGGCAAGAGATGGATAAACTGCCGTCCATTCACACCGTGGAGTACTATACAGCAGTAAAAGAGTGAGGCATGTGCCACAGTGCAAAGGTCTCTAAGAAACACTGTTAAATAAATCAGGGACAGGAAGTAGGAGAGGGGTCTTTTAGACGGGGTGGCTGGAAAGGCCTCACTGAGAAGGTGTCACATGTACAAGTACAAGCTGAGGGCCGTAAGGGAGGAAAAGCATCCCAGGCAGAGGGAACAGCAAGTGTGGAGGCCCTGAGGGGGGACTGTGCCTGAGTATCAGCACTTTGAAGGCAGCAGTCAAGGGCCCCGTCAACGTTTCCTGGCCCCAGCAGTTCCAGGGTCACGTAACCCCCAACTTACCCCCTCGCTGTGCTGCACCACGCTGCCAATGTTTTGCAGCGACTGGAAGTTCTGGGTGTTTACGGAGCCAAACTCCACAATCTCGTCATCCACTTGCAGACCCTAGAGAGAGAAGAGAAACGAAAACCAGGCTAGAGGTTAAATATGCTTCTGGTGTTCTTTACCCTTCCATGCCCATTTTAACGTCAAGGTCAAGAGCTTGTTTTCTGCAGGGGACAACGGCAGGCGCAAAGCAAAGAGGTCACGGATTTGGATACCTCATCCAGGAAGGGGTGGTGGATAACCTGGCCACCTCCTCTGGGGGGATCTTCCGAGGGCAGATCTAGTAGAAGGTGGCCAGGTCTGCCCAATGGCTGGCAGTTGTAGAGACCTTGAGATACGTGGGGAAAAGCCAAATACTGCTCTCCGGGCTCCTGACCCAGGTTCAGGAATAAGAAGAGGCAGACCTATGTTGCCCAAGGGTCAGAATTTAGACAAATTTGCCCGACAAGCCCCCAAACAAGCTGCCATAGGCACAAGGCTAACACAGGACTAGCATGACCCTTTCATTCTAAGGATACAGACCACAATCCGTTCATCCCTTTCACAAGCATCTGTCATGGGCAGACTACAGCACTGTACTAGATACTATGGCTACCGCGGTGAACAACACAGAGCCTGGGTGTAACTTAGTCTTGTGATCATAAACAGGACTGGCAGGACCTGGATTCAGGACCAGCTCTGCGTCTTAGGAGCTGTGTGCTCTGGCACAAGTTACTTCAGGTCTTCAAGGCTTGTCCTCATGGGTGAAACAGGGTAAAGAGTAATACCTGCTGCAGAAGGTGGCTATGGAGTTAAATATTAAATGCACGTCTACATCAAAAGTTGGACATGATGTTCACAGTAGCGTCGTTCATAATAGCCAAAAAGCGGAAACCAAAATGCCCATTAATAAATGGATAAATAAAACATGGTCTATCCACCAATGGAATATTATTCAGCTGTAAAAAAGGAATGGAAATAAAGACACGTGCTCCAACACGGATGAACCTTGAAAACATGATACCAAGTGGAAGACGCCATTCATAAAGGACCACATATTGTATGATTCCATGTATGTGAAATGTCCAAATAGGCAAATTCATAGAGACAGGAAGCAGGCTGGTTGTTGCTGGGGGCTGCAGGAGTTCGGGGCTGGGGGGATGATTAGTCGATATAGGGTTTCTTTTTAGGATAATGAAAATGCTCTAAAATTGACTGTGGTTATGGAGACACAGTTCTGTAAATACATTAAAAGCCACAGAATTGTGTATTTTAAATGGGTAAATTTTACGGTATGTGATCTATATCTCAATAAAGCTGTCTAAAACTTCTAAAAATACACTAGGCAAGAAGTACAACTCATTTGGCAGGACACCTGGTGGAAAGCAAGGGTTGAGTCAACGGCAGCTGTTGTCATTCTCAGGTCTGTTACTCAGTGCCTAGCTAAAATGGGCCTCAGGGGTAGACCCTCTTTCCCTCTCTTGGGACATTTATCACCTTCTACCTGTGTCCAGGCCTCTCCCTGACCAATGTGGTAGGCAGCAGGGGCTGTCTCCTCTCCAAAACCCTGGCTGCAGCACGGGGCTGGGCCCCCAACAGGCCTCGGTGTTTCCTGAATAAGTGAAGTCAAGTGCAGCATGGAGAGAGTGTGGGTCTGTCTTTCCAGGGTCCTCCCTACCCCACAGCCACCCTATGGGTGCAGATTTGGGCGGCTGGGCCCTGGCTTACCGCAAGGCTGGCGGGGGAGCCAGGGCTGATGCTGTTCACTTTGGCAAAGGCCTGAGGTGGGCTGAGGCCCTCACTCTGGCCCAGGGTGCGGCTCACGGCCTCTTCTTGGGCCTCGGCCATGTCCCGGGCCTGCTTCTCCTTGTCGCGAGCATGCAGCTGGTGTAGGGCATCCTCCACCTGCTTCATCACTGCCTTGTGATCGTTCTGCAAGCCTGGAAGGAGAACAGCGTATCAGGGGCCAAGGAAGACAGCCGAGGACACAGGACTCCCACATCATTCGCTGCATATTTAACGAGCGCTGACTCTGTGCCAGACACGCGGCTGGAGGCCGAGGACCGATGTGTAGACATGACAGAGGAGCTACCCCCATAAAGCTCACTGTCTAGCAAGGAAAGCAGCCAGGGAACAAGTCAGTCCCATAATCACATCTGAGGACTGCAACGAGAGCTGACCTCGCCGGGGGACCTGACCTTGCTAGTCTAGGAGATCAGGGAAGGCTTCCCAAAGGCAGCACCGTTTCAGCTGAGGCCTGAAAGGCGAGCAGAAGTAAGGAACCTTTCATGGCCACAAACTCAAATGCATACACGGGGCAAGCATGGCCGTCACACAAATGAATGAGATGGGCTGGGCTGCACTTTTCTCTTAACACCTCCAGGGGTGAAAATGATGCCTGTGCCTAACGCACGGCTGGCGATGTTCAGTCTTGGGGAAATAACAGGAAAAAGCTGGAAATTAGGAGTTTGGGGGTGAAATCCTTGCTTTTTTTCAGTACTGATGGCTAATTCAAAATGTTGTGAACCACCGTCCGCTCAAATCAGTCATCTCTGCAGGCCAGTCCAGCAGTGGTTGGCATTCTGATGACTTCTTTGAACCTAAAACAACTTCCTCTACTGCTGTGGATTCCACACATTATTCAAGTCAGCTTACTCACACGGTTCCCTTGATGAGTTTCAGAGGCCTGAGCTGACCAGCACTGCCCGCCAACCCATATCTAGCATCTATGGGTCCCAGACTTTCAGACTTTCCAGGTGCCTTCCACCGTGGGCATGCACGGCTACCTGACCTGGTTCCTCTGCCTCCATCGCTTCCGAGCACAGGTGAGGCCCTCAGGCCTAATGGAACTCCAGTACTCAACCCACAGGAGCAGACGCAAGAAAAGAACCCAGGTTTGAATAAATGGAGGCATATACCTGGGTGAGAAGACCTCAAGTGCTGTCAGTATATAACATATGGTCACTCTCTGACTAGAAAAGATCCCCCACCCCGGATCCATGAGGAGCCCCAGAACCCTCAGCAATGCCTGGCATCCAGTTACAGACTCGACCTACAGCTCTGGGTAGTGGAATGAATGACTTTATTTACAATATGTTGCACTTCTCATCAGAATTCAAAACAATTTTTTTCCTGGACAAAACATTTCCGAGGCATGTTTCAAAATCAAACTTGCAACTGTAATAAATGTAGGAAACTGATGTAAGACATTAATAGTAGGACAGAGTGGGGATAGCGGATATGGGACCTCTGTATTATTTTCCCCATTTTTCTGTAAATCCAAAACTGTTCTAAAAAATAAAGTCTAGTTTTAAAAATAAAATCAACTTGCGAGAATAGTTTTTCAAAAGAAGGAACTGCTCAACCAGACTCTTGAGTGTATTAAAGTCATGAGATAGTGTAATATTAGCACCCAAAGGGACAGTAAACAGAACTGGGCAAAAAGCCCAGAAAGATGTAAGCATGTCTAAAGATTCCATATGTAATACTGCTAGTGTTTCAAATTAATAACGAATGGTCTATTCAAGAAATGGTGATGGACATGGATGGATCTTGAGAGCATCATGCTAAGTAAAATAACTCAGATGGAAAAGGACAAGAACCGTATGATTTCAACTCATTTGTGGGATATAAAACAGAAAGCAACAAACGAACAAATAAAATAAACTCACAGACACAGACAACAGAATGGTGGTCGCCAGAGGGGAAGGGGATGTGGGGGGAGGACAAAGAGGGTAAAGGGGGTCACATACATGGTAAAGGAAGGAGACAAGACTTTGGGCGGTGAGCACACAATGCAGTCTAACGGGTACCGTATTATAACATTGTACACCTGAAACTCATATGTTATTAGCCAATGTTACCCCAATAAATGTAATTTTAAAAATTTAAATTAAAAAAAATAATAATAATAAATGGTGTTGGAAGATCAGGCTAACCATCTGGAAAAAAATAAGTTGGTCTCCTCCCTCACACGGTGGGCTAGCGCCTCTCAAATTTCCTCCACAATCCTCCAAACTAGCCAAGCCCAGTGGGCTGCATCCCTTGCAGGGGGGGCAGGGGGAGGGTCTACAGTTTAAGCCAAAAGCCCCAAATTTCCCTCCAGGAAAAACATGGTTTTTCCCTACTTTGCATCTTCCTATTTGTTTTAATATACAAATGGCATGCTTCTTTTCCCAGAATCTTCAAGGAAAAGTGATGCTTTAAGAAGTTCTATGATCATACGGTGGCTCTGAGGAACCTTTGGCATCTTAAGCTGTATCCCACCCATGGGTACTTGTACCCTCATTGAGAAGCACGGCCTTATACCAAAACACGCTGCAGATGGAGTCAAGCTTCAAATAGGTAGCAGAAGTCAGTAAGTGGAAAATGTAGACGATAAATTCCCTTCTAATATCACTTGATGGTGGACTGCTGGTTGCCCACCGGTGGCAAGGTGAACAATGGCCCCACAGAGATGTCCTGAACCCCACAGCCTGTGACTACGTTACTGTACATGGCAAGGGGGACTTTGTGGACGCAATTAAGTTCAGGCCCCTGAGCCAGAGAGGTTATGCTGGATTATCCAGGTGGGGGGCCCAATGCAATCGCAAGGGTCTTTATAAGGGAAAGAGGAAGGCAGAGGGTGAGAGAAAGAGGCGTGATGACAGAATCAGAGGCTGGAGAGATGCAATGGCTGGCTTTGAAGATGGAAGGGGCCATGAGCCAAGGGATGTGGGAGGCCTCTAGAAGCAAGGAAACGGGCTCTCCCCCTAGAACTTCCAGCAGGAACACAGCCCCGCCTGACACCTTGACCTTAGCCCAGCGAGACCCATCTGGATGTCCACCTCCAGAACTGTGAGTTAACAAAGTGGTAACGTTTTAAGCCACTAAGTCTGTGGTGATCTGTTAAAGCAGAAACAGAAAACGAATACAAGACCCAACCTCGGGACCGGTCAGGTGGCGCGATGGTTAAGAGCTGGCTTGGGATGCCAGAGGGCCCCGGTTCAGATCCCACATATGAGGGCCAGTGACACTGCCCTCTACAGCTAAGACGCTGATCAACAGCTCAACCTGGAGTTGGGATGCCGAGAGTCGCCAGCGACGGCGTAGGCTGCAGCCCCTGTGGCAATGGGTTGCCATGGGCTACCATGTGTAGCCAGCAGCCAGCAGCCAGTGTGAGCGGCCAGCAGCCGCAGTGAGTGGCCGTCCAGAAGCCGGCGACTGATCTGCCTCGCCCGGGAAGAGCGCAATGATGGTGCCAACTTGGGCCAGTGAAGCAACATCCTCCACAACTAGACTGAAGAACAAAAGGACAGCAACTTGTCTGTTCCCCTTCCCCCAATTCCCCAGCGCTGTTCCCATCCCCCAATTCCCCAATAAAAAATAAATAAAATTAAAAAAAGACCCAACCTCTACTCTCCCTCTGTTCCTTGGTCACTATCATTAATGGCTCAACATATTTCCTAACAAGGAATTGATCTGATCATGATGGTAAGCAATATTTGACTTGGGTTTCTATGGTTATGTCAATCAAGTTTCCACAACGAAGTTCTTAAAAACAAAAAGAGAAATGACACCATAAATATGGAACGCTTGAGTCTAACCCACTTGCTGAGTTCTCAGTCCCTCTCAGGGACATGAGATGATTCCATCAAGGCAGAAGACAGGGAAGCAGATAACATGGGACAGTGGGGATTTCATTTATGTGCCTTTAAGGTCCTCTCCTGCGAGGTGGGGGACGTCCCCTGAGGATCACTCACAGACGATGTTGTGCCTGGCGGTTCGGACTTGATACAGGTCCACATCGGAGCGGGGGTAGCCCTCGCAGTCCACCAGCGGTTCGTTCATCCCAACATCTTTTTGCTGGAGGGCAGAAAAGTGGTTAAAAAGACTGCACAGGTATGAAATCCTCAAGACCTCTTTCCCTTCGCAATCATAACAAAGGTGACAGTGACAAATGTGGCCCTATATTGACCATTAGCACAGACCAGGTACCTGACCCACATCCTCTCACAAGTACACTCTGAGGTGGGCACTAGTTTTTAAATTAATTCTTAATAGCATGAGTAATGCATGAATCATTCTCCTTTTTTGAAGTTAGAACTGTGCCCACAAAACTAAAGACTCCTTTGAGCATCAACCCCAAGGCCAGCAGCCTCCTCCAACTCCTCCAAACCCCCCTTCCTATAGGCAGCTGACACCTGGCTGGTGGCCTTGGAAGCTGGAGGGGTGTGAAAACCCCTAAAAGCGCCCTGCTGTGGCAGGACTTTGGTTCTTCTGAATATAAAAAGAGCTCTAAAGGGCTTTCAAAGAGGCTTTTACCCCAGGGAGGATACACTGCTATCAAGCACCTGGGGAGAGGAACTGGGTGG